TTGTACTTATTCTTGAAAACTCGTTTCACAGCTTTTAACTTTTATCAAACTATGCATTCATTTAAAAAAGTTCTTTTATATGGTATGAATATAAAAGTTATTTTATATTCAATACTTAATATTATTTTACTTGTATGTATGTGTACATATGTGATCATAACATCTTGTGGTAAAAAAATTACTGTATCTTTTCAATTTATATTTATTCGTGATATTTTTTCATATTATAGCCTAATTAGGATTTTTGAAGATTTAAAATTTGATGAGAGAAAAAATATTACAAAGAAGAAATTATTACATATACAATTTAAGTTAATATAAGCACAAATCATTTTAATACTAATTATTTTAACGACCGACTTATTCAGTCTTCCGTACCTAAACATTTCAGAATCACATACAATTATAATTTTATCATTTTCAGATCTATATCTTCATTTTTAATACAATGCCTTGAATTAATTCTTTATGAATTCTCTTTACAATTTTATAATTATAAATGGCTACAGGATATGTGGAAACAATTCATTAAACATTCAAGATCTTCTCTTGATTGGAGAACTAAAAGGATAAATAAATTATATTTTTTATATTAATTTTGTGACTTTTCCTATTTGTCTCGTTTAAACAACGTATGTTGTTGTGATGTCTGTAGCCTTCATCTTGACTTGAAAACGCTCGTAAATCATGAGGGGTAATCTCAACTTTGTCGCATAGAAGGCGAGCTATAATCAAGAGTGAGTTATAGCATAATTAGCACATTTCCTGGTTCTAGGTAACGGCCACCTTCTCACGACGAGTGTGCACTCGCAAGAAGGAACTCGGGTTTCGCACAGCGGGCAATTAGTGCAAAGTGCTGTTCTTTCGGGAGAAGGATTTCCATTGGACTATCTGTATGTCTAAACTTTGAAATTTTGAATTAAAGCTCAGTTCCGTTTCCTTAATCTTGTACTATTTTCTCGTACTTGATGAAAAAGCTTTTACATCGCATATTGTCCCAACTTGGAATAATTCCAAAATTTCCAAAGTGACAGCTCTGAACAATTTAATTAATCAGAAGTTTTAAACGATGTCTACTTTTTTGGAAGGAATACAGAAAGATTTTATGTTGTAACTATTCTCGCAAAGTCTGATTTTTAAACAAAGGTAAAGTCACAGTGATCTTTCGTATAACCACAGTGAAAGGAAAATAACTTCTTATATACAACGCGCGATATTCATGACATACAATAAGAATTAATCAGCGTATCGTTTTAGAATTTTATACAGTTACATCATTCACATTTATATGCAATCTCGCCTTCGCAGCCAAGCATTCCGATAGTATTGAAACAAATCATTTCGGATTTCTTGCAAGCGCGCTCGATCGGCAAATCAAATGGGGTTGAAATGATTTGTTGGAAGGGAGGGAAGGGTTGATTCGGAATCGAGGTTGTGGCATCGTGTTATTCGGTGGGTGGGTTCTTGCTGCCTGCCCGATAAGAACTGACCCAGATTCCCGTCGTATCTTCGGCGTTTCCGTGGACAGAGGAAGCACATTGAGGAAGCGCGTCTTGCATGCGCAACTCTTCTCGTTTTCCTGAATGCGCAATAAGTTTCGCCGATCAAGAACTTTCGACCGTAAGTAGAAGCCCCCCCGGTTGTTCTACTTCGGTAACACAAAACTGAGCGTCGATGGTAAATTGCGAATTGCTGTCAGCCGCGTGAGTTTTACGGCGATATCGTAGTCGAGGCTGCTCCGTTTCATGTGCAGGGCGTGTCCGACGTTTCTCTCTCGTTATAATAAGTTATAATATATTTCTAACTTTCCTTTGCACATATTACAGATCTTATTTTCAAAATGTGACTGAGATTATTTTGCGAAACAAAAGCAAGAAACGTATGGTAGTTTTCTTTTGAATGAAAGGAATATCTTATCATTTTTTGCAAAACTATTATATTATACATATATGCGACATATTTCAATATAACATATTAAGATCATTTTTCAAAAATAATACATTTAAAAATAAAATTTGCATATTTAAACATTTTTTTTTATCTTCCAATCTCTTAATTTTTATAATTTTTTATTACAGAAATGAAAAGACTCGATATTCTATAAGAGGGAAAGTTCTCAACTGCTATTGTTCGCGTGCACCGTGACGTGCAAAGAAAAAAGAAAAGAGTAATAACAAAAGCGTAGCACGCTTAAGCGTAACGCAAGAATTGTAGAGCTTTTATTATTGCAAAGGCCGATGAGCCTCCGAGATTACACTCTCCTGAGGGAAATGTTTCACCACCCCTTTTTCTTCCATATTTACCCTCGCATCGGGTTCCATGCTTTCACGTTTTATCAGCGGAATTACATTTTCCCGGCACAGCGGTTCAACGCTCGAAATGTGCAAGCTTGCGCCGCTGTTACGTCCAGCAGTGGTTTAATTTGTAATATGAAGTTAATCAAATATATTATTTTAATCATTTTTAATGAGCTATTTTTAACAGATTTAAAAAATGTTAGCAGACAAGAAAATTTTATTTCTCAAATGATTTTATTTTAATAAAATTTTAATTTAAATGTTAATTTTTAAATATTTCAAAAAATATCTTCATGCTACAATATATAATTTCATATATAATTTTTATAATTATACATTTATTATATATTTTAGTATATATTAAATTACAAAGAAATATAATATTCAATTAAATTTAGATACGATAAAAATCATATAATCCTACTAACAATAAGTTGATAAAAAGAAGCGTCAAGTGTCAACTACGGTCAAAATTAGAATATAACAATTTTATATGTAATTAAAATACATTTACTCTCTTCTCTTCAGATATGATTGCGCGTCAATTATTTGCGATACAATCAAACTGATATAATATAATGTTTTTACGAAAAATATCGTACCGTTTATCGAGTTATTTGTCATCAAACATTTCATACAATATGTTATCTTGTGCAGAATAAAAAAAAATCATGAACCTTACGGCGTGTTTTTCATCGAAAAGACGTCGCTTTAGCAATTTTGCCGATAGGGAAATTCCCTTTTTTCCCCCTCGAGTTCTCCTCGATCCTCGTAGGAAACTCAATTACCGATCTCGTAGAATTAATCCGTGGCTGCGGCGGGCTGCACTCAAACGAGATCCTCGAGGTCACATCGCTTATAGTGGAAAGAGTAACAGAGCTGATTGGCGTTCGCGCAAATAACTTCGTTACGAGTTTCGTCACGAGCGAGGTTCACGTGGATTTAGCTCCTGTGGCGTCTATCGAATCAGCCTCCGGTATTATCTCTCCTCTTTTTCCAAGTTGATTGTCGAAGAGTTTTAGAAAATCTTAACGCTGCCACGATAACATTTATGTCTGGCGCATATAATGAAATGGCTACATTTACTTAACCGAGAATGCGATGGCTCGAAAAAGGGCACGTGGTTTTAAAAATTTAATAATTGTATGTGATATATATTGGTAAAGATTATGCAATTTATATTTCTGAAAATGGATGTCTAAGATGTTTACCCTAGTCTTATAAAATATAAATTCGCTAAATATATAAATGCTATTTATACACATTATTATATTTAGCATGAATTGTTTTAGAATGGAAAAAAGGTTTTACATTTATCTTTATCTAAAGAATATATTGAATATTATTAATCCTTATTTAATTGTAAATCGTCGCACAAAAAAGTAATGATTATTGAAATGTAATATTGAGTATAATATTGTAATCAAAAACCCTTCGCGAATAATGTAGAGTTAAACAATATATATAAGCAATATCTATCAATTTATAATAAATATTAGTATTCATTTTTGTAATTCATACACATACATGTATAAAATATAATATTTTACATATATATGTATAATTATGTGTGTATATATATATATATATATATATATATATTTGACTATACAT